GTACATCACTTTCTGTTTGCTGAGAGGATTTCGCCGAATCATGTTGCTAACTGCTTTGATGACTCGTAGTGTTCTGGCAGTGCGTGAACGTCCAGATCTAGGGCGGTCTCGTACTCCCTGAGTATCATTGTAACATTTGATAGCTCTGTAACAAACTACCGACTGGCAGCTGGTTGCAATGGTTGCAGCTTTCTGTCCCACTTAGTGCAGGGCAATCACTGCTGCGTGATTCTCTTCGTCACCCCATTCTATGTTTACTGCACGCAACACAAGCAGCTAAAATGTTACCAAACAATACAGTGGCTAAAACACTGCACGATTACTAGGCTAAAAAATTATAGCTTCTAGAATGCGAGGAACATGTAAATCGTGTAATAGTATTTATGGCAGAACTAGATAGGCGACCTGTCTGGCTACCTGTCCCCACCACCAGAACCTTCCGCGAACACAGGTAGAAGTGATTCGGTCTCAGAGAAGCGACGTCCTCAAATACCGGTCGTCCTTGGGTGTCGGGATGCGAGGGGGCCTGATCCTCGCTGCCTTTCACGGTCAGCTCCGTTCTGATACCGAGTCCACCAACGCCGGACGGTAGTTTGCACTGAGCCGATGCGCAACTTGATGCATGCTACGGCCTACCTCCATTATGCCAACTGACCGACCTCGATAGAACTGATGAAGTTGGAGAAACTGTCTCTGTGGACGTCGTCCTGGCATGGCTTTAAAGACGAAAAGCAAACGATTGAAGGGAAGCGAAATGAATGGACGGAAGCAGAAAAGAAAACTGGCCTGATTAGTGAAGTCGCACTTTTCTCCATCCCTCGGGGCATTCGGCTAGCTCGGCAAGTTTTCTTGAAACTTTGAAACTTTCCTTCATTATACTAAACATCAGTTGAAGTTCATGTTTCGCATTTCATTAATAAACTCCTTGATGTTCTTTGTGGGCGATAATTACGACCCTTTCGACCTCATTTAAATTGGGATGTTGGACAAATTTTCTCAGCGAATATTCAACCTACAACCTTGAAACTAGCACCGATTTCATGATGCACTAATACGAGTATGGTTACTAAATTTCATCAAGATCGCTCAACTCCTTCTTGGTGTGACTTTTTTGGCGATGAGCGAAGAAAACAGTAGTGTTCAGGATGCGGAATATATTTCACTGGGCATCTTTCCATTACCACCATGCTCCTTTTTTTTTCTTTTACAGCAGTTTCGATTCCATCAAGAACCTTGTATAGCCCGTCTAGAACAACCATTTTTTTAAACGGCTCTTGGTGTTACCGTAGGTTTTCAGAATCCCGCTAATAGATAGCTAAATCCTGCAATATCCTGAATCCTGTCGTGGCCCGTCACCTGTTAAGATCCTGGGTAAAGGTTACCACAGGCCATTCAACTTAAATTCCACTCAAGAAAGAAATAACATTTCCTTATGCATATATGATGAGGCCGAACGTCAGAAAATTGCAACAAAGCAGAAACTTGACGTGCACATTGTACAATACATCCAGTCTTTTTGTCGTAGGTGAATAACTTAATTATATCCTTACGCTATGTAGGCCCGTTTCCATCAGCTCACGCTGGTATAGTGTTCGAGAGAACAAGTAGAAGGCTCCACGGTCACATCGAATGTGATGCCCCCACCACAACTGAGATATCAGGCATTTAAAAAATGAATGGCAATTCTGACACAATGATCGATTACTGGACACAGACATAAAGTTGCGCTATCATGGTTAATCCTGCTCGGATGTTGGTTTGCATGCACCACATGATATCACAACTGAAGTCGGAAGTGAACTATTACCCTGGTCTGAGTCAGAAATGGAACTCTTTGTTAAGGAATGGATGCTGAAACTCAATCAATACCAACAAACTATTTTCAATTATGTAGTTGAGAGGACTGATGAATTGAACGACGTGCCTAAAATTATATTCATTGATGGACCCAGTGGCACTGGCGAAACTTTGTTACTACGAGTAATCTTGGCACATCTCAAAAGTTAAAATAAAGAAGTGCTCTGTACTGCCTAAACTGGTATTGCTGCTTGAACCATGATGGAGGAATCACTGCCCACTCTACTTTCAAGCTACCCCTTGAAACTGCGAACCCGCAAGCATTTTGCAACATCACAGCAAATAGCGTGCCCAGCTTATATCAGCGTCACAGATTCCTTGGGATAAAGTTTCAAAGTCTCAGAAGCATAATATTCATGAACTTGATCGCACACTTCGCGACTTTCGTGACTGATTCATTGCATCCCATTTAAGTTTAATGCTCATCCGTCCGGCTTAGAAGTGAGAGTCAAACTTCAAACGTGTGCCGAAATGAAACCTCAGAAGGTAATGCGACAGACGTTCCAGGCTTTGGTTGATGTAGGCTTCTCGGGATGTATGTACCAGCTTTATGCATCAAGCGGATGCATAAACCAGATGCGTGCAATGTAGCATCAGGATAGACAGATAATAGCAGATTCTCAAGGGCCTAAGGGTAAAGTTACGTATTATTACCTCTGGGCATAACTGATATCTCATCTCCAGTTGGGCTAAAAGGCGGTAATTTCCGAGCGATATGTGAATATTTGTCCGACATGGATCATGCTGTTTTTATCATCTTCATGAGAGTTTATCACATAATCGTGAAGTTACAATCGTTGAGCAACTCCGGTATGCTTTCATTTATCGAGGTTTTCGAAGGAAAGTCCCAAACCCTGTTTTGTACCTAAATGGCAGACTAACAGTTCTTTAAACATCATAATTGAACAATTACTCTGACCTGTAAATTCCCACAGAGACAGCAACGATGACCCCATCAAACTCGCAAGGCACTACTGAGAAAGCATACGAAGTGACTACGCCTGATTCTCAGTACAGCAAGGCACAAGGTTTGTTGAACTATGTTCTTTTGAAAATAATGTGTTGAAAGGTTACTCCTTCGGATATACGCGGCCAGAGAAGAAATAAAAAACGGGCTTCCTCAAGCCGAATAATTTTTTTGCGATTTAATCTACTTCTGAACAGGGTTTCCCATTGTAGCACATTACTCCTGTGCTGTAGCATATTGAGCACGGCGTCTCCATTCCAACCACCAATGTTATGAATTGCATTGCTGATGGTGGACATACCGCATTTCGAAACATGAATTCTAAACATGAACCTACATTTGTAAATTCTAGATATGTACAGGGCGTTTCATTTAAATTGTACATCTTTGAACGCTCATATCTCTGAGAGGACACAACCGTTCTTTACGAAATTTGACCACAATATAGAGCAACCTTTGCCAAATTATTGGACAGAATTTCTTAATCGCAGCGCCATCTATTGAGTTGAAACACCGATTCTGACAAAACCTCTGAAACCAAGATCTTATCAACTTGATGAAATCTTTTAAAGCTGATCATTCGTTAGATAATGCCTTGATCCAGTGGTGCTGAAAATTTCATGATTGTATTTCATCTCCTTACTAAGATATCAATCATCAAACCGTAGCCACTTAACCCATCCGCTTACACTTAATACTCTCAATGCCATGGATTTTTCCGATATTTTGGCCTGAGCCCCTGTTACCATCGCCCTGACGCATGACGGCCTACGGCGCAAGGCTATGACGGCTTTAGCGTTACCCAGGATGAACCAACGTGGAGGTAGCCGTCGTTCATCCCATGGGGAGTTTTTGGAAGTGGTTCCCCTTGC